CTTCTTCTGGTATGGTGTTCCGATTTTCAGTCAGTACAAGCATCGATGCACTCTAGTCCAGCAAGAAGACAAGGACACTTCCTCGCACTCAAGCAGTCTTTGTCTGTGCAGTAGAGATGTTTCAGGTCTCGAACTTCAACTGGAGCTGTTGGCTGAGTGAACATCGTCTGTGTTATGCCTCCATCATTACAAGCGGACCAACCATGGCCAACCGGTTCGATCAACTCTTGGTTGGGGATGTGACTCCTGCACCAAATCCGTGTTTGGTACTTTGCGCGCAGGACATGTTGTTGGAAGACATCTTCTGTTGGAGGAAGCATGGATGCAGACTTCTCTGTCATTGTAGACATGATGTACCGCAACTCATCAAGTGTGTCCATTTCCTTCTTCCCAAAGAGGAGTAGTGTGTAGCTACGGGCTACCGTCATGCTCTCCTTTATGTCATCTTCATGGAATGACGAGGTTTGTCAGACTGTCTGCATGTTTCACCAGTTTCGAGTACGCCGTTTTCTTTCCTATCCTGTTCATTGAACATATGGTGTCGCATCCTGTGAGGGCATGAGCAGCAGGGAGACACTCGCATATTGTTGGGCCAAGTTCATTCACAATTGTATGAACAGGAATGCATCTTTCCTTTCCTGAATGACCAGCATACATGTACACATAGTCAGCCAGTTGTCCTCTGCTGACATAGTAAACTATCAAGACCAAGACATCTGTGTCGTCACAGCGGATTATGATCCTATCATGATCCTTTGATAGTGCACAGGCATGCAGAATCATACGTGTATCGGACTCGTCTTGGTTACTGTACAGTGATTCAACAGATGACGTAGCAAATGTATCTTCACAATAGTTCCTTCACTAAATCCTCCTGCCAAGATAATGGATTTGTCGTTGGGAACATATTCTCCTGCATTCTCCAAGATATACTGTGAGATGTAATTCGCAAGGCTTGCCTTGTTTCCGACTCCCTTGAGAAACCTTCTGTAGTTAGGTACTTGTCTGCTCCCCTGGATATCTTATAAGTAGGTAACAAACTGGAAGAACCCCACTGCTCGCGTTCTGTGGTCTTGATGGATGACACGTTATCATACCGATCAAACACAACGGTCACAGACGTCAAATCCAAGGATGGGTTGTGGAGAAGTCTAACTGTACGTTTCTGTACCACTTCCTCCAAATCCTTGAACGTGGTGAAGTGATTCTCATTCAGTGACTGTACCATGGCCATGCCATCGATGATATATGTGGATGAAGTGGACGTTGGTGTTTCTGGCAGCTCTGCTAGAGCATCTGGACAATTTGACTCGAGCTAATACGAAGTAAAATGGTAAGTATAAGCTACAGTCGAAGTAATATGTTCCCAGACTCGAGAAAGCTATCCCAATAAGCAAAAGTTGCCGAGTGCTGTCGTCCTTCGTTTTGAAAGAGAGTGATCGTATCCAAGATGGACTGGGGAATCGTGTCCTCGATTTTCTGGCAAATTGTAGCACATTCACTTGCATCTTTGGTTTCGAAGGACTGCTCAAGATCACGTACTAGCTGCTTGGTTTCATTGGGCAGCCATGGCAATCCGTTCTTGTTGGCAAAGGATTCAGCTGAAGTGAGGAACATCTATGACAGTGCTTCGTGTGCAAGACGGACATCTCTGATTCTACGGGCATACTGCTCTCCTTGGAGCATTTGGTTAACCGTGGCAGCTGCGTATACATCTGATGAAGTTAAGATGTTTGTAAGCCCACCATCTACGAATATCTTGCCAGTGCTCGCCAGGAAAACAATTATCAGATGCATTCCTCCCAGCCTCATCGTTACTTTGCCCACCAGTGGTTCCGGTCTGCTCCACAGAATCTCCCGTAATGAGTATGTGATGCTGCCCCAACTCCTCAGATATGTGCACTAGCCTCAACAAAGTGGTAAAAATTGTTGACAAGTCGGATGGTAAGGCATTCATGAAGGGTAGATATCGTATTGTAGTAACGGGGGCAGTCTTGGTACTGACGAGGGCGTTAAATCCACTCCACGCTGAAATGCTAGATTCACCATCTCCACAGGTCCTTGCCACTTGCCATATGAAATCTTTTATTATGACCTTATCCGACGTTTCATCTTCCACTTGATAGGTTACAGTGGGCTATAGCTTCTTTGCAGGCTTGCGGTAGCCTTGGAGTTGTTGTTCCTTGTACTGCTCAGTGTCCAAAGATTTCTGCTTTGTACAAGGAATCAAGGACATATCATGACTGAGTGGAGATCGTTGGTACAACACAGCAGCCATGGCATGTGTAGTGCGTTTCCCATCTACTGTCTCCTCATTATGATCAAAGTTGTCGATGGCAGCATCAACGACTGATTCAAGGTTTCTATAAGATCAAACTGTGAAATCCCACGAGGAACCTGCACTTCAGATGGTACTGAAAGTTGATCAAGAGCTACTCATGTTAAGAACTTTCTCACGTCATTATAGTTTATGAAATATCCCACTGTACTGAGAACGTCTATAAGCTCCTTACTCCCATGGTCATGGTGCATCAGAACACCAAGGCCAAATGTAATGGGTGTTTGCGTCTTACAGGACTGAGAAATGATACTGTGACAGATACCAAGCACACTCATGTCAGCATCACTTGAGTCACAGTGTCTAACATTGTCAAAAGATTCCTTCGAGGTGCACCATGCTATGAAATCGTACAATGTCTCTGGAACAAAGTTTTTACATTGTCGTACATTCAAGTCTCCGCTTGGAGTATAGTGGCTAGTTTGAAAGGTTATCCCAGACATTGCACTGCGAAGGATACCAGCAGATCGATGAAGGACGACACTATCCGGATCCACATCACTTCAATCTTCACTTGTAAATTCACATTTACCGGATTCATTGATTTCGATGTTCAGTGCAGTAACTTTCTTATATTAACCATCAATTATAAAATATAATGGGGCTGATTTCATAAAATAAGTAAGTAACTGAAAATGCAATTTTTTCAGATGTTACCGTAAACAAGGGGTTAATGTACCATGTTGTACCCGTTTACCATGCTGAAACTGATTTTTTTATCAATAGCACATCTGGGCCCATGAATACAGTCAGATCTGACACAGTGATAACATGTATTGGTGGAATAGTGCAAGAAAATATACATGATTTTGGTCGAAATTGCCAAAAAAATGCCAAATTTGGGGTATAATTTTGGCCCCTTAACCCCCTTAGCAGCATAAAACTGCCTCACAAACATTGCTACATATTTATTTCAATGAAATACATTGATATAACCATCAATTATAAAATATAATGGGGCTGATTTCATAAAATAAGCAAGTAACTGAAAATGTCATTTTTCCAGATGTTACCGTAAACAAGGGGTTAATGTACCATGTTGTACCCGTTTACCATGCTGAAACTGATTTTTTTATCAATAGCACATCTAGGCCCATGAATACAGTCAGATCTGACACAGTGATAACATGTATTGGTGGAATAGTGCAAGAAAATATACATTATTTTGGTCGAAATTGCCAAAAAATGCCAAATTTAGAGTATAATTTTGGCCCTATAACCCGCTTAGCAGTATAAAACTGCCTCAAAAACATTGCTACATATCTATTTCATTGAAATACATTAATATAACCATCAATTATAAAATATAATGGGGCTGATTTCATAAAATAAGCAAGCAACTGAAAATGTCATTTTTTCAGATGTTACCGTAAACAAAGGGTTAATTCGGCATGTTGTACAAGGTTGCTGCAACTACAACATGTCTTTTCATAAAATAGGGATCTAGACGGTTAAAATGAGACCAGTCCCAGCTTGTTATACCTCCGGTAGGGGTATCTCCTTAAATAGAGCCCTTTTTCAGCTTCGGTCACTGCACTAAAATCAAGTGTTACGAAGAAGAACGTCACTGACAGTCAGAAGTTGATGGCCAGGCTTACTGCAACTGCATCCACCAAGTTATTCGAAGATCTGAATACGTTCATCGCAACACGGTCTGCTGTGAATGAGAACTTCAGATTCTGGGCTCAGTTCCTCCGCATGATAGCTGTGGTGCATGATCTGTTGAGAGCAGATTGTGAGGGGATATGGGAACTTCATCTTGATGCCGTCCAACGTGCTATATACCTATTCGCCGCCTTTGACTCGACCAACTATCTTCGCTGGTGCTCTGTCTACCTGTAAGGCATGCGGCGTTTACCTCAAACTGCACCATCAGTGCATGTGAACTTCTTAAATAGGAACTTTTCCATCAAGGAGAAACCCGGCCGCTTCACTGCAGTCGGTGGTGACCAGAAGCTTGAGCAAAGTATAAACCTATCATCTAAATGCAGTGACGGAATCATCGGCCATGCCAAGCAGAAGCAGTATGTTGCTCAATGGGACTTGATATACCATGAAATGATGGCAGTAAAGAATCTGCATCGGAGATATGCTGATGTGATGGAGAGGACACACGAGTCCTTTAACCACCACGAGTCATCCCAAGCTACTACAGTTCGCAAGGAGTCCCATATCCAGGCAATGGTAAAATTCATTGAAGAGAAGGGNCAAAAACATTGATATAACCATCAGTTCTAAACATCTGTTCGGCTGATTTTATAAAATATGCAAGTAAACTGAAAAAGTCGTTTTAAGGTCTGTCGCAAACAAGGGGTTAATGTACCATGTTGTACACGTTAACCATGCTGAAACTGATTTTGTTATTAATAGCACATCTAGGCCCATGAATACAGTCAGATCTGACACAGTTATAACATGTATTGGTGGAATAGTGCAAGAATTGGGGTATAATTGGGGTATAATTG